AATTTCCTGACAGTTCCTTCATAAGCAAGGGACTCGAAAGTTTCGGACTTGTATTGAGCAAGAGTGTAGTCCATATCAAAGCCTACGGCAATGATATTTTTCATATTCAACGATCTATTGCAGAAAATCTGATTGCTTATATCAATTTTCTTTCCTCCTTCCGGGGAGGACCATTTATGAGGAACTTCACATCCATCCCTGGAGCCCACAGTGTGAAACTGCAACGCATTTTCACTGAGAGCAGTCGGTTTCTGATCTTCCATCGAACTCTTAAAACACAGCTGGCTTGTCCCTGAGAGTTTATCAAGTAAAAAGGAAACATCATTGTTTTCTTTTCTTCAAACGATGATATAGCTTGTTGCACAACACACAATACAATTAGCGTAGAGAATTGTAGAAACTCTATCCAGCACATATATGATAAGAATTTTTAAAAAAGAATTTTTAAAAACAATCTAAGAATCTGGTTAGTCAGAACCCACCAAGGCTAAAATTAGATACACAGAAGAAAATAAAGCTACCTGATGACACGTTCTCTACGAGTGGATAAGTGATTTGGACTATAGTCAACACGAGTCATACAACCATTAAAGCTTTGGTGATCAAGCATGATTCCACTAGCACCAAAAGAAATACAAACCCCTAGAAATTTCTAACATATCTTACCTCGATCAAAAAGATCAAAGCGTGCACCACGCTAACTCCTGATCCTAAAGTTTCTTCCAAGGTATGCTCCAGGCAAGACCTAGAAATTGCAACTTCTACTAATTAGCACATCTTCCTTCCCGATCTACGATTCTTCACTAAGAACAAACTCTGATTCCCCGAAAACTAAGCTACTACCAAAATCAGCTATACGGAGCCAAACAAAGTTAATCAACGAAGTCGAAAAATCAGTCATAGGGACGTCACTGAACATGCGATTAACAGTCTACTACGAAAACAAAAAAAAGCACAACGAACACGAAACGGTCTACAACAAGAAATCAAGCACGATGAAGAAGAAAACTAGATTGAAACAAGCAAAACGATGTAGTAGAAGGAAGAGGAAGAGGAAGACGAACCAGTGGTGTGGAGAAACTCTCTACGAGGAGCTGGAAATTTTCCGGGAAAATGATGGAAACGGAAACGAGGAGAGAAAGTAGAGACACAGAGAGAAAAAGGAAGAGAAAGTTGGCGTTTAGAGAGACGCATGGTGGTGGTTAAGCTATTAAATAGGCATTGAGGAGTATACGAATCGAATTCTGAAGAAAGGAGAATAAAATTGGGTTTTACAACTGTAAAACAACTACTTGGGAATGCCGTCGAAAAAGTAGGATTCGTACTGATTAACCACTCAGACATTTACCGGAAATTCGCCGGCGAATATTCCCTCCGTTTCAATTGCATTTATTTTTTTCTTATTTTTCTCCGGCGGAACTAGGGAGGGAAACGAGGCGTTGCTAAAGAAGAAGAAATCCCAAAGAAATATGTGCCACGTGTCACATTAGATCAAAATAAAAAAAAAGATTGCGTGGTTGTGGCTGTTTATGGCTTTTTCTGAACCCAATGGGCTTTATTAAACCTAAATGGGCCTAAAATTCAAGCCCAGTTGTTAAACCTCACGTTTTAGTTCTCCTTTCCGTCTTCCCCATTTCTCTCAGTTCGCGTTCATCTCTCTCTCCCTCATCACCCGATCGCGTGAAGACAACGCGCCGCCGAAATCTTGACTATCAAGTTCCAATCCTCCCTTATGTCAACGACTTCCTCCGTACGTGCTCGAATAGCTTTCGTTGCTTTACTCTCAGCGACGACTTTTTACTGTATCCATAAATACCGCCGCTTGAAACGTCTGAAAAACCTCTCGTTAAACCCTAGCTCTACCTCGAAACCCAGCAGAGGAAAGATCTTCTTCATCTCCCAAACTGGTACAGCTAAAGCCTTAGCTCAACGGCTTCACGAGCTATGCGCATCTAACGACATAGCATTTGATCTCGTCGATCCACGGAGCTATGAACCTGAAGATCTCCCTAAAGAAAACCTAGTTTTATTCATCGCGTCGACTTGGGATGGCGGGAAACCGCCTAAGAACGGAGAGTTTCTTGTGAACTGGCTTGGTGAGAGCGCTGAGGATTTCCGAGTCGGCTCGCTTCTTCTCTCCGATTGCAAATTCGCTGTTTTCGGTGTCGGGAGCCGTGCGTATGGTGAATCGTATAATGCTGTGGCGAAGGAATTGTCGAGTAGGATGATAGGATTGGGTGGACTCGAGATGATTCCGGTGGGAGAAGGCGATGTTGATGACGGAGAATTAGACAGAGCATTTCAAGACTGGTGTGGTGGAGTTATTGGGGTTCTGAAAGGAGGTTCTGCTGAAGAAACAAATGGGGTTTCGCAGCAGATTGGTGCTGTTGAGAATGATCTTGAGTACTACGATTCAACAGATGATGAAGATGAAGACAATGATGCAGATGGAGGTATTGTTGATCTTGAAGATATTGCTGGAAAAGCTCCTTCGAAGAGAAATGGCGTAGTTAAAGTGACTAAAGTTGATGGAAAGAAGGAAATGGTGACCCCTGTGATTAGAGCAAGCTTAACGAAGCAGGTATTGGGTTTTGTTGCTTGAGCTTTGAAGCAGTGTTTGCATTTTCTCGTCTTTACTTGAATGATCATGACTTTTGCACTTTGCAGGGCTATAAAATAATCGGTTCGCATAGTGGGGTTAAGATATGTAGATGGACAAAGTCACAACTTAGAGGCAGGGGAGGTTGCTACAAGCACTCCTTTTATGGCATTGAGAGTCACAGGTTTAATTGAAACTTCTGATTTTTTTTCCCTAGTCTTATGTTGGTAGATCGTGATTCTTATGTTAAGGTATTCGGTATTTGATTTTCGAATAAACTAGGTGCATGGAGACAACACCTAGTTTGGCCTGTGCAAACAAATGTGTCTTTTGTTGGAGGCATCACACCAATCCTGTGGGAAAGAGCTGGCAGTGGAAGATGGATGAGCCGTCTGTGATTGTGAAAGGTGCTCTTGATCTTCATACAAAGATGATTAAGCAAATGAAAGGAGTTCCAGGTTAGTGTATATCCTTCTCCTTATTTTGGCTTGTAGATGATGAATTCTCGGAAATTCTCTCTCATAGTTTATGCATATCTGTGCATCAAGTTGGATTCTGGAACCTATTTAGAAATCTCATAGTTTATGAAACTGAACTTGATGCCTTTTGGAAATCAAATATGCTCTGAGTATTTTGTTTATTTGATTGGTTGTTTCAATCATTTGAATGTCAGATGCTGATTTTATTGGCTGGCTATAATATTCTTCAGGTGTAACTCCAGAAAAATTACAAGAAGGTCTAAACCCAAGACATTGTGCGTTATCACTTGTTGGTGAGCCGATTATGTATCCGGAGATCAATGCCCTTGTAGATGAGCTACATGGAAGGCGTATCTCTACATTTTTGGTTACTAATGCACAATTCCCTGAAAAGATTTTGATGATGAAGCCTATCACCCAGGTCTGTGGTGTCTGTTTTGTGGCTTCGAAAGCTCACTTAACGGAACCAAATTTGCCTAACTCATTTTCTTTGATATCTACAGTTGTACGTAAGTGTAGATGCTGCCACCAAAGAGAGCTTGAAGGCCATTGATAGACCTCTCTTTGCTGACTTTTGGGAACGGTTTATTGTGAGTAGTTTAAATAACCTCCTTTATGTAGTGAAATGTGAATCAAGGTAAAGGTATAATCTCTGGACCATTTGTATCCCAGGACTCCTTGAAAGCTCTCCAAGAGAAGCAGCAGCGAACCGTCTACCGTTTAACACTTGTCAAAGGATGGAATACAGAGGAGCTAGATGCTTATTTCAACCTCTTCAGCATTGGGAAACCTGATTTCATCGAGATCAAAGGCGTCACATACTGCGGATCGTGAGTGTGCTGTTATTCTCTCCACTTTTGTTACACATATCATTACTGATGTTAATCTTCTGGAAACAAAACAAAAACAGCTCTGCAACATCAAAGTTGACAATGGAGAATGTACCTTGGCACGCAGATGTTAAAGCGTTCTCAGAAGCTCTGTCTCTGAAGAGCAATGGGGAGTACGAGGTTGCTTGCGAGCACGCCCATTCTTGTTGTGTTCTTCTAGGGAGAACCGAAAAGTTCAAAGTGGATGGAAAGTGGTTCACTTGGATTGACTATGAAAAGTTCCACGATCTGGTTAGTTAACCCAAACACAAAATATGATCGACTCAAAATAAAAATTCATGCTGACTTTATAACGACGCTTTTGAATGAATTCGCATAGGTGGCTTCTGGAGAATCATTCACAAGCACAGACTATATGGCTCAAACACCATCATGGGCGGTTTATGGAGCACAGGAAGGTGGGTTTGATCCAGAGCAGTTGCGTTACAAGAAGGAAAGGCATCATCATCCTAAACCACAGGCGGTTTTAGCTTAAAGCTGTTTTGCTAGCCTTTAAAGCTTCTTCTTCTTCAAGGTCTAAAGCTTTTTGTTTTTTTTGTTATGTCATCCAACGGTGTTAACTCGTAAAATTTTGAATCCTTGAGCTGGGTTTTGTATTTGGTAAGGTTTCGGTGTTTTGGGAATGTTTTTGAGGGAAGAAGATGATTTCGCTCGTGAAGGCCTTGCGGGCCCAATAATGTCTTGCATTAAAATAGTCTATCAACATGGATGGAGTCGTCGAGTCTCTTTCTCTCACTGTTCCAAGATTAATTATGTAGTTTGTATAACTTGAATCGACAATTACAGCTATTTGGTTAAAAGATTTTAATAATTGACAGGTTCTTTCTTCTTTAACACTAGCAATATCCATCATTAGTTTCTTAACTTATCCGTTCACCATGTGCGATGGTACCTTTTCTCATTTATCATATAAAAATTCGAAAGGGACGTAAACGTAACCATCCATCAACTACGCAACCAATAAATTAAACAACCTACTACAACTAAAAAAAACACCTAAACAGCTTTTTTTAATTTAGTTTCACCAGCATATATGTCTAAAGTTATTTTGATGCACCAAAATACAAAGATTTGTTTCTTGTTTTGAACTAACAGATCCAAGAAATTATAAAATCAATTGTTTTTTCTTCCCATGATGGTTTCAATTAATTTATAATCCAACAATAGTTAATCCAAAAACACACACAAACACAACAACTCCATTGATGATACGGTAATAAAGATTTACCAGCTCTTCACCGGCGTACTTTTCCTCCTCGACCGTCTAGACGACGGCGGTGGAACCACCACCTTCATCTTCATCTCCGGCTTCTCCTCCTCCTCCTCTAACTCTTCATGTTTCATCTTTTGCTCCTCTTCCATACTACTACTACTCCTAACTTTCTTCTTCTGCTTCTCTCTGTTAATAACCTCAGCTTCTTCGTCTTCTTCTTCTTCGTCCTCGTACTCTTCGTAATCCTCGTCTTCTTCAGATTCTTCCTTCTTGAAATCTTCGGGGTTCTCAAGATTCTTCCTTGGCCTTCCTCTTCGTCTCCTTGTAGTCTGAGACTCCGTCGGAGATGAAACTTCTGCGACCGTCGCCGTTACTGACGGTTCCTTTGCTTTCTGAAATCTTCTCTTTCCCATCAGTTTTACTTTTCTCAACAGAGTAATATTTTTCTTGAACAGCTTAGCTTGTCTGATTTTTAATATCTTCAAGAGCAATAAATTTTCTTTTGTGTTTTACAGACAGAAACAAAAACAACAACAGTCTTTAAAACCAAAAGCCGCCCATTCTTTTTGGTGTACAGATAAAATATCAGAAGAAAAAGTAGATTTTATTTTTGTCCGTTGGTTATCTCTTGTATATTATCCACCAATATAATACGAGTATGACATATATATCCTTGGAATTAGGGTTCATGTATAGTCTACGTTCTATACAATACAGAAGTATATCTTCTTTTTTTTTACACCAATTATAGAAGTATATATATATTATCAAAGATTAAAATCGCAAAGCTTCCAAGATTAACATTTTAAATCTAGTGATCTGCAAGACTATAGCCACCTTATCACCAGCAGTAAGTATTCAGTGTGTGAGGTTTTATATAATTCTATATTCGATAGTTATTGAAAACCTATATTGATCATTTGAGGTTTGAACCGTGAATACTATTGAATAATGAAAAGCATGAATGAGAAGAGATGACACTTACATCAAAATCTATGACTCAACAACAGAACGGCACGACGTTCACTATTCCACAAAGAAAGTTAACGGGCTTGAATTTAAAAACCCAAATGAGGCCCAATAACACTGATTTAGAAAAACCAACAACACAATGCACGTCGTTTTACATGTAAACGTCCGACGTGGTGTGTCTCGTAAACAGCGAATGGTTTTGTTTGGTGGTAAAGGGATAAGATCACGTGATCGGAAAGTCAGAAGAGCCCATCATCTTCTTCTTCTTCCTCTTGCCTCAAAAAGACAATTCTATCGACTTCCTATTACTCTTTCTGATTTCTGATTTATTTTTCCCTTTAAATTTTGGTTTTGTTTTCTTTGAAAAAGACATAATTTTTGCTGGAAATATCAAATTGGGTCCGTCGCCACGCCACGCGCCGAGCTCGCAATACATCGAAAAGCAACGATCTAGGAGGACGATCTTTAAAATCCTACTTGGCCACAAAAAAATTCTATTTTTATTATTGTCCGTGTTTAATTTTTGATTCAGAAAGGAAAATTAATATTAAGCACTAGTTGTGCAAAATCACAAAAAAAAAAAGAAGTGGTTTTTGTGGATGGAAACAATTTCTGGGTGAGCTTCCCTTTCCTTTTTTTGCTTTTTTTTTCTCTCCTTTCTTCTCTCCGGATTTTTCTAGGTTTTCTCTCAATTCTTTTTTTCTTTTTTTTTTTGCTTTAAAGGTTGTTCCTTTGTCATATAAAAAGATAGTTTTCACCTACTTTCAATCTCTGCGGTTTCTAATAAGAACATTGGATGTTCTTTTTTTTCAAGAGAGATTTGTTTCTGCATCTGTAATTTTGATTTCTTTGACCATCTCTCTGTTTTGTCTGGCAAGTGAGTAAAGTTTGAATCTTGACCTTTCATGATTTTGCTTCTTCTATTGCCTGAATTTTTCCATTTTGGGAATGAATGATTCTCTTTTTCCCTTTTTGTTTATTCGTTTTTTCTTTCCTTTCTTTATCATCAATAGGCTCTTTTTCTGTTCTTCAAGTCTCCTTTTTGGTTTTTTAACTATTGCTTTCTCTTTGTGATTCTCACGTTATTCTCATTGATTCCAAATTTTCTGCAGCACACGTATATCAATCCAAATCGACGACCATATACATATGTTTTGGATTCAGTGAGAAATAGAAATTGATTTTGGTTTCTTAATCATGGTGGAGCCTTATGAGACACGTAACAACGGTAAAGCTTCCCAGATGGTCAGATATCAGAGTTATAACCATCACAATTCCAGATTACCATCACCATTATCATCGCCATTACTTGATTTGAGAGTGTTCTATGTCAGAATCAGCAATTTCAAGGTGGATCATTCAACACCTGAGGTCCTCACCATTACTCATATTCCTTTGGATCCAGATTCACTTCTGGAGATAAATGGTGTTAGAATGAGCATGTACTCTGAAGGAGTTTCTTCTCAGCTAAGGCGAGATCGTGTTGATAAGAAATCCGAAGTAGCTACTTTTATCAGCACAGACAATATCAGGTTATCTGGTAGCGTGAAGTTTGAGGTTTATGACAAAGATGAGCTGGTTTTGTCTGGAACTCTTGAGATGTCTGGTAGTAATGGTTTCACTGGTGAACCTAAGTATAGCGTGAAGCGGTGGAACATGAAATGTGAAGCTGAGATCACTGCAGGGTCTGGTTTCTTGAAGGAGAAACATATTGGTGGGTCGGAGTTATCATCTCCATTGCCAACTATTGAAGTCTATGTCACTGGCTGCTTTTCAGGAACTCCCATCATCTTAACCAAGACTCTTCAGCTTGGTTTCAGAAAGAAGCACGGTAGAGTGGCTGCATTAGATTCGATTCCGGAGTATGAAGCTGATGAGCCTCATAAAGGAAACTCATCTGAGCTTGATTATCAGGTAACTTTTTAATTGCTTGCTACTTCACTGTTTCAAGATTATTATTATGCTTCCTAATAGTTTTATATTGATTGGTTTACAACTTCAACACATTGAATGCTTTCCCTAAGATATTAGTCTTCTTGGTCATGATATTGGCTGTATGAGCATTAAGTTTTTCATGGTTTTGAGATTTCATAGTTTGAGACATGTTTCTTGGTACTCTTAGAAAGATAATTCCTTTAGATATTGAAGTGGACCAGTTTCGTTATAAATGATCATGTGAGGTATGGGGCCTGACACATTTTGTAAGTCAATAGATATTTCTCTCCCCTCTCTATCTCTCACTTTCACTCACACACACTCTCTCTCTCTCTCCCATTTGCCTCTTGTCTCGTGATCTTAAAATCTAAACTCTTATCCTCTTGTCTGCTACAATCAGTTTTTTATGTGACCCCGTAATTGAAATATCGTGGTTTTCACATGTAATGCCACAATATAACATCTTTTGTTTATGCATAGACTGATGCGGTAAACGCTGCCCAAATTAAGAGTCAATGTTAAGAATAGCGTATGCTTGAACTTTTATTTGGAGGTTCTTGCAGTTGACAGTGTAGAGTACCTAAAGGAGATGGATCTTCATACTCACCGTCGATTAAGTTGCATTTAAGTATAGTGCAATGTCTATAACTTCGACCATTAGCTCTACATCTGAAAGAGTTTATAAGATTGGAACAAAAAGACCATTAGCCTCTATTGTACAAGTTTTTGAATGACCATTGTATTCTTTATTTTTCTTTTCTGAGACTGACATGTGCTACATACATGGATCTCTCTGTTGCTGAGTTCTTTGTTTCTGTGCAGGTAACAGAATATGGAAGTTATAAACAAGAATATGAAGGCGAACACAGCGACATGTATTGGAATAGAGAGTACGCAGATGGTGAAGATGGTGAGATGTCGTGGTTCAACGCCGGTGTGAGGGTTGGTGTGGGAATTGGTCTTGGTGTCTGTGTAGGTCTTGGCATTGGGGTTGGCCTTCTAGTGCGTACCTATCAATCAACCACCAGAAACTTCAGAAGGAGGATTATCTAGTTTCATCTAAATTGTCTCAAGCTTCTTCTACTCTCTCTCTCTCTCCCTCTAACTCCAATCCGTTGCACATCACTTTTGACTGCAGAACTCTAAGCTATATAGTCTAAGCTAATACTGCTGTGTAGTATAATTTTTCTTTATGTATCTTTTTTTCTCTTTGTGCCTTCAAATTTTGGAAGAAATCATTCTCCCTTCTTGTGTTTGTTGAGATTCAGACTGAAAGAAACAAAGCTTGTTGATGCGAATCTTATTGTCTGCTTCCTGTAAATAAAATGCTTAAAAAGTGAAAGAGTTTTGGATTCACTTAAGCCTTGCAAGAGTAATACACACAACTCCTTTTTATTTTAATCAAATGTTATGTCTAAATCATACAACCTCTCTACTTAGCATCAAGAGCTATTAGTACATTTCTAAAGGGTTGGTTATACAATTCATTGCCTTCAAAACCGATCAAGGGTGGGTTTGGATTGGCTCAGGGGCAATCTCGGCTCCAGAAAACCCGTTGCTCACGTGCAGCTGGTTATTGTTACTGTGACCCAATCCCCAAAAGTTTGCAGTTTTAACATCGTCTTGGTTCATTTGCTTGGAGAATTCTTCATAGTTATACTGCAACAAAGCTTTCCCTCCAAATTCAGTTGGGAGATTTTCCTCGTCGAAAAATGTGCTCATAAGCTCCACGCTTTCCGGGTTCTTTGGGTAAACAAATTTCACCTTGACAAATGTCTTTGCATCAATGAAGTACTTCACAATCTGTGGAACAACACAAAAGGAAAAACAAAATGAAGAAAATGCCATCATGTTCCTACACATATTATTCATTCCTGTGTAGACGAACAAACACAAAGTTGCCTTAATCACACCAATGTCTTGTCTAACTATGAGATAAAAGTAGTGTTTTGTCTAACCTTCCAGAATGCCTCAAAGATTCTTGGAGGATTATAAAGGAACGCTACAGCTAGTCTCTCTGGGTAGTGATTTTGCAGTATATTTATAGTTTCTCTGGCAGATTTAACAGGCACACTAGTGCTCATTGACCAGTCCGTGAAGTCAATAAGCCAAGACATCTGTTCTTGATCCTCTGGCAGATTCAAAATAGCATTCTCAATGAGATACACCAGATGTTTCATCTGGTTCTCCAACGATTTTGTGTTCTACAAAAGTTGTCAATGAAAATGGAAGTTTTAGCTTGTGCCCTGAAGTTAAACTCACTCTCTAAAAATATTAACTAAGAAAATTGATCTTTAGAAACCTGCAAGCCGGGTCTCAGTATAAGAACCGTTCTTCCATGCCTGTCATGGAATCCAGCTTTGTAAACTTTACCAGTCTCACCTTCACCTGAAACTTCATTCTAATAGAAAGCAAGCCACAACCGGTAAGTTTTGGTAGTAATTAGTAACATGATGCACTTTTGATACTTACCCATTGAATTTCCTCGGGTTTAAAAGTCGATCGCCATTTAAGCGTCTCCTCGAGCATCCTTTTGGCTTTGCCTACGTTCCAATTCCTAGCTTCCAGATATCTCTTCAGACATGCATCTGAACAATACAGTGAACTCCTTCCAGAGAGCTGACCTATGAGAGCCTTAAGCTCTTTCATCTAATATCATCAAGATCAGAAAGCATTACCTTCTATCAATCAACTAGGTAATTAAAGAAAATCATCAACAAGGCCAGAAAGATTCTTCCAACGAAACATTTTGAGAATTGCACTTGGGTCCAATATATCAAAATTACCTTTGCCTCTCTGAGAGCTGTCTCATTATGCTCTTGTTCGGTTTGCGAAGAAGTCTTCCAACGAAACATTTTGAGAATTGCACTTGGGTCCAATATATCAAAATCCCTTTAGTCTGTCAAAATTAAACTCAATGAAATAAAGCCATATAGATCATTAGCTAATATTAACAATGGCCGTTAAATCCAAAGCCAAGGAACATGTTACAATACAAAAGGTTCATGTAATACATGTGACTGGAAATAGAATCACAGACCAAACATGACTCAACCACCTACTGTGTCAACTACTGATACAAAATCTAGTAAAGTTTGAGCCTTGTGAGCAAACAGATCAATCAATAAACAAGATTTGCATATTTGTTTAAGATCCACCCAATTTCGGAACACTAGAGAAATGAATTTTCTATGATCTAACTACAAACCCCAAATAATTCATATGTGACTGATCTAGTTGTCAGATACATAATTCTAGAGGAAAAACAAACGACTGCGAATAAGAAAAATCAAGAGCATGGAATCCAATTGAAAAACCTGACATATCATCCATCAGAGATTTCACAAACATTTAAAGATGGAAACTTTAAAGAGGCGGAGGGTAGTACCGAAACAGAGAGAAGCTGCTTGGAATAAAGAGAGAATTTTGCAGTGAAGAGAGAAGTCGGAGAGAGTCGAGCTGAAGAAAGTTGAAACTGATAACATTGGAGAAGAAAAGTAAAGACAATTCACCTAACCGCTTTCAGACAATTGGACAATTACAGAGACAGCTATTATTAAAATATCTTTTAAAAGTAACTGAACGGTACGGCAAGGCACGTGAGATTCACGTATACCTACTAACCTCACACGTGTCACTAATAAGCCCCCAAAAAACAAAGATACATCTTTACTACGGATCCAACCAGGCCCAATAAACTATACGGATTACAAGTTATACAACAAATAGAAGAGGTTTGAATATAAACAGATATAAAATTTTCACTTGAGAATTTTATAGAGAAAGTGACAAGATTGTTACATTACAATGAAATTTGAATGCAACAACACAACTAAAACACAAAGATGAACCTAAATAATCAGAGTCAAAAACAATCCTGTGAAGCACAATACACTTGAAGCACCACCACTTTCGGACTTGTACAATCTGACAAATCTCAAATGCATGCACCAAATCCACTTGGAAAATTCCATCCAAGCGCATAACTACAATATAATTATGGTTGGGTGTTGTGAATTGTGATTCACTTCCTAGTTAGTATAACAAAATTCCTCTGAACTGAGAATCACAAAACAATCTAAACCAGCGGTCCAAAGTCAATTTTATATTCACTGACATCAAAGAAACCGAGCATCAATTTGAACAGCACAGGTTCGCAGTTTCTGTCGTATAAAGTTCAACTAATGTTCAATCAAAGCGACTATCAGCTTATTGGGTAGTGTTGATTTATTAATTACAGTTAAACTAAATTAAGCTAGCAAATTCATAGAGTGATATGTTTCTTCAATTTATCAGAATTTATAAACTTAATTCACTTCCGATCTGTTGATAAAAAACGATTTTCATATTCTCAAAACAAACTCAACTTTATGGAAAAATATCGGTAGTAAGCTCAGAAGGTTGCACAATCATTTCAAAGATTGAATAATCTCATAAGTCCAGACATATATATTAGCAACTTCATCATCGCAAAAACAAAAATCAAATCAAAAGTAATAATAGATCATCAAATACTCAGAGAAGCTACGATATTGTAGCGATGGCAGACAATCTACACGGCATCAATTCAGACCGCCCGTCTGCTAATATCTCATCATTGTTTTTGATCGCAACAAAAAAAAAAGGATAAAACTAAAATTCGAATTATGGCATCAGATAATAAGCGGAGATGTTTTGTCAACACTGTTAATCAGTGGTTAAGCATAAATTAATCAATTCTTCATTTGCCAATCAAAAGAAAGATAAAAAAAAAAAAAAGAGGTATAGGTCGATTCATTTGACGCCAAAGCTGCAGAAATAGCAATGGGTTGGTAAGATAACCTTTTCACTATCAGCATCCGTTCTAACTCCTCTACCACTCTTTAGTGATTTTACTCGACCAGTTAGAGGAGTTGGTAAATCAAACAGATGCATCTTAATCCAATCAAAATCGAAAACAAAACAAAACCAGATATAAACAAAACTACGAGAATCAATCGATAGATATTCGAACAAAACCAAGATACCATAGTCGATTCAAGCGAAGAAGATAGCTGCGGAGGAATAGATCGGGTTGTTCTTTAGGAATTGGGATTTGTCAGGATATTTATATAGCGGAGAGATTTTTGTGTTATCTCGCAAACTAGGGTTTCGCTCTTAACGGACTTTCGTCGGTATTATTATTCTAGTGGGCTATTTGGTGACATACCTGGCCCATATTTGGCAAGGTCCATTGGGTTAATTAGAAGAAAAAAAACGCAATAAGATTTTTGTTTTTGTTTTTGGTCAAAGAATAAAATGAAAAATGAAACTCATAATCATAATGGAATGTGCCAATGACCATTGATATTTGTTTTACTATGAAAAGATTCATTTACACCCTCTCAAAATTACATATTTACTCCTTTTTGTCACAAATCCAAGGTGTATATTTGCTCATTAAAGAAACCTATTTAAACAAACCCCAAACAAAACAAAACATCTAAGAGAGACTATTGTAACGATTTCTCCACCGTACCTAATGATCGTTGTTGATATCCGACGGTGGCAAAAAGCTCTCCAAACACAATCCACAAATATTGAAATCCACTTCCTCGATCCGCCATTTCTCCTCTATTCTTCTCCGGTGATTTACAGCTCCGCCGTAGCGATAAAGCGTTGTCACAGTTTGACCGCCGTGAGCTATGTTTACAGCGTCAACGAATATGTAATCGTCGATGATTGACTCCATACTTGTCTCCCAAAAAACGCCATCGCTTTTGCCTCTACCGGATTTGACTCTCACGAGTTTTGTGTCACCGAACTTGACGAGAAGTCCCGTTCGTTGACTGAAGTAACCCCACACCGTGTGGTGGATCACTTCCGTGTTTGGTGAGCATTGTGCCTTGAGAATATCTGACGGTGTTTCTAGCTTTAAGACAAAACAGTCTTCACCGTTAACTGATTGTTCGCCGATGCAAACAGCGTCTAAGAATAGACTTGCCGTGCATCTCGGGTCTAGTCCCTGCCACGTCATTTAACACGTCCAAAATGTCAAAAAGTCAGATCTTTAACCTTAATTAGGGTAAGTTTGGATTAATTTAACTTTCTTATATAGATTTGGATAGATAATTTTTTTGCCAATAATATGACCAATACACAGCCAAAACTTTGCATTTCTTGGTATATACTACGAGGATTGATTGTTTAATTAATGGTATGTACATTTTGACTGGTTTGCTTTGGCTTAGTTCTAATTTACTATTTTTTGTCGTTCACACGCATGTTAC